AAAATTACAATATAAAAAAAAACCCACAAGATACATAATAAAATAAAGCTAGCTCAAGCCTGAGGTTTTCCTGCACAAACATTATTGAAACATTCTTAGTAGTGAGGTTGTGGTCGACGCAAGTTAAGTCCTGTTAAGAGCTAGCATGCTAGCATCTACCTCAATGAAGGCTGGGTTTGGACAGAGCACAATTTCTTTCAGGAACTGGCTGCTAATACACCATTTGGGAGTTCCCTCAGAACGAAATGTTCTTGCTGGAAAGCATCTGTTGCTTCCGCCTAAGCTGCTCATATTGTAACAAAACAAAGGGAGGGCTGAACTTAACAATAAGCCAGTTTTTCATAATGCAGAACTCAGGCCCCATCCAAACAACACATCTAAACAGTCCTGAACACAGGACTGTGGCAGTTTATCTCAAGGTGTGCTTGGCTCCCAAGGAAGCCTGTTGAGCCAGCAGTGAGCAAGAGGGAGGGAGGGGAGGAAGCTTGGCTATTGTGAGTATCTTTTTGTGCTACGTTGTGCTATATACTTAGTAGCAAGAGAAGTGTGTTTTAGCTGTTACTGGCCCACATGCCCTATTTGCATTGGTGAGAGTAAGTTAGAGAGTAAGCTCTGAGGTTGTTGTTGTTTTTACAAGGAAGCGGTATAAAGATCTTACAAGACAAGTGGAGTGGAGTGGAGGATTCCCTGGTCCTGAACGAGGTAACTGTGCCCCTGAAGGACCAGGTGCGCAGCCTGGGAGTCATTTTGGACTCACAGCTGTCCATGGAGGCGCAGGTCAATTCTGTGTCCAGGTCGGCTGTCTACCAGCTCCCTCTGGTACGCAGGCTGAGACCCTACCTGCCCGCGGACTGTCTCACCAAAGTGGTGCATGCTCTAGTTCTCTCCCGCATGGACTACTGCAATGTGCTCTACGTGTGACAACCTTTGAAGCTGGCCTGGAAACTGCAACTAATCCAGAATGCGGCAGCTAGACTGGTGACTGGGAGTGGCTGCCGAGACCATATCACACCAGTCCTGAAAGACCTTCATTGGCTCCCCGTACATTTCTGAGCACAATTCAAAGTGTTGATGCTGACCTTTTAAAGCCCTAAACCAGGGGTTGGCAAACTTTTTCAGTAGGGGGCCAGTTGACTGTTCCTTGACTTTGTGGGGGGCCGGACTATATTTTGGAAAAAAAGTATGAATGAATTCCTATGCACATTATGTGTTATAGCTAATGACTTGCAGTTCAAACCTCCTCATGTGCGCAGTGGAAGTGGGCTGGATGCCAAAGCACTGTCGCTGTTGCAGCCAAGACGGATGTTCAACAGAACATCCAGTACGTTTCCAAGCACAGTTTAGCTGGACTTCTGAGAGAGCCATGCCCTGCTCCTGCACGCTCGCAATTAGGAGTGGGATCAGGCAGCTCAGCTTGGGAGAGCAAAGCCTCCACTCCACTTCTGAGAGATCCCCTCCTCCATTTCTGCTTGCACGCAAGTAGGAACGGGATTGGGCAGCTCAGCTGAGGAGCGCCTGGCTGCCTTCAGGTGCTGCAGGGGCTCTCAGCAACTATTCAGCCTGACTGCCTTCAAGGGGTTGCAGGGGATCTGAGGTGGAGGTGGGGGCTCCTTTAATCTTCTCCCTTGAGGGGAGTGCAGCCGCGAACCCCTCAATGGAAAGTGTGACGGAGCCTGCACCTCGCCAGCTGATGAGCCCCAATCCAGCTCTTGTTCCCGTGCAGAAGTGTGGCACCCAAAACAGAAGTAATATTACAACATAAAAAACACACAAGATACATAATAAAATAAAGCTAGCTTAAGCCTGAGGCTTTCCTGCACAAACATTATTGAAACATTCTTAGTAGTGAGGTTGTGGTCGACGCAAGTTAAGTCCTGTTAAGAGCTGGCATCTTTCAGGAACTGGCTGCTAATACACCATTTGGGAGTTCCCTCAGAACGAAATGTTCTTGCTGACAAGCCTCTGTTGTTTCCGACTAAGCTGCTCATATTGTAACAAAACAAAGGAGGGCTGAACTTAACAATAAGCCAGTTTTTCATAATGCAAAACTCAGGCCCCATCCAAACAACACATCTAAACAGTCCTGGCTTCCCCCACAGAATTCTGGGAGCTGTTGTTTATTAAAGGTGCTGAGCGTTGTTAGGAGACCACGGCTCCCCTTAAAGAACTACAGTTCCCAGAGTTCCCTGGGAAGAGCACTTGTTAAACCACTCAGAGAAACATAGCTCCATGAGGGGAACATATGTCTCCTAGCAACTCTCAACACTCTTAATGAACTACAGTTCCCAGAATTATCGGGGGGGGGGGGATACTGCTTAAAATGTATAATGACGATGGGGCCTCAGTGGGGCCCCTCATTGATAATGAGGAATAGGGATGGAAGGATCTATCCGTTTCCATTTCTTCCTGTTTCTCATTTATCCAGCCTTCAGTTCTACACTTTTCTGCACCAATTCAGACGCGGAATATAGCCGTGTCAAAATACAGACCAAACTATTTTTTTCTCTTTCTCCCCCTTTCCAGGAAACTGCCTGGCAGAGGAGCCCAATAAAAGAGAGTTTTGTTTCTGGATTGCAGTGAGAGAAATGTAAGATGAAGAAAGAAAGAAAAGTTCTGCAAGTAGTTTGCAAGCTGGAGAAAGGGGTGTCAGAGCAACGTGAATAGGCAGCTTGAACCCAACATTACAGCCCTAGCAGAAATGAAAACTCTTGGAGTGTAATGCTGGAAGCCCCTCCATCATGGGATCAGGATTCTACATGTAGAAATAAATCATATATCATTAAGACACCCCAGCCTCCTCTGTGCCTCATTTTTGTCCCCCTCCCAAACATTTCCTGTCAGAAGAAGGGCGAGAACCACCACCACTTCACCAATAAACATTTTGGACTCTCTCCTCATTGTGCCTCTCGTGTCTGAATGACTGGGCAAGGGGGAGGGCAGGGCTTTTCCTGCAACAATGGGACACCACACACACACACCCCTCCACCACCCAGAGTAAACCTCTGGCAGGTGGTTGCTGAACAACTCCAGGCACGCCTGGAGGATGCGGACCATTTGAATCCCTTCCAGTCGGGATTCAGGCCCCATCATGGGATTGAAACTGCTTTGGTCATGCTGGTCAATGATATCTGGCAGGCTAGGGACAAAGGTGAAAGCTGCTTCCTAGTTCTGCTGGATCTCGCAGCGGCCTTTGATACAATCGACCATAACATCCTTCTGGACCATCGGGGGGGGGGCTGGGAGTTGGGGGCACAATGGTTCCGCTCCTTCCTGGCTCCAAAAAGTGGTGTTGGAGAATGAGTGCTCAGACACCTGGGCTCTCACTTGTGGGGTGCCTCAGGGTTCTGTCCTCTCCCCCATGTTTTTTAACATTTATATGAAGCCATTGTGAGAGATCATCAGAGGTTTGGGCTGGGTGTTCATCAATATGTGGATGATACCCAGCTCTACCTCTCCTTTAAATCAGAACCAGTGAGGGCAGTGAAGGTCCTGTGTGAGTGTCTGGAGGCGGCTGGAGGATGGATGGTGGCTAAAAGATTGAGGTTGAATCCAGACAAGACAGAAGTACTGTTCTTGGGGACAGGGGGCGGGCTGGTGTGGAGGACTCCCTGGTCCTGAATGGGGTAACTGTGCCTCTGAAGGACCAGATGCGCAGCCTGGGAGTCATTTTGGATTCACAGCTGTCCATGGAGGCGCAGGTCAATTCTGTGTCCAGGGCAGCTGTCTACCAGCTCCCTCTGGTACGCAGGCTGAGACCCTACCCGCCCAAGGACTGTCTCACCAAAGTGGTGCATGCTCTAGTTCTCTCCTGCATGGACTACTGCAATGTGCTCTACGTGTGACAACCTTTGAAGCTGGCCTGGAAACTGCAACTAATCCAGAATGCAGCAGCTAGACTGGTGACTGGGAGTGGCCACTGAGACCATATAACACTGGTCCTGAAAGACCTACATTGGCTCCCAGTATGTTTCTGAGCACAATTCAAAGTGTTGGTGCTGACCTTTAAAGTCATGAACAGCCTCGGCCCTGTATACCTGAAGGAGCGTCTCCACCCCCACTGTTCAACCTGGACACTGAGGTCTAGTGCCAAGGGCCTTCTGGCAGTTCCCTCACTGTGAGAAGCAAAGTTACAGGAAACCAGGCAGCGGGCTTCTTGGTAGTGGCGCCTGCCCTGTGGAACGCCTTCTCATCAGATGTCAAGGCAATAAGCAACTATCTTACTTTTAGAAGGCATCTGAAGGCAGCCCTGTTTATGGAAGTTTTTAATGTTTAATGCTGAATTGTGTTTTTAATATTCTGTTGGGAGCCACCCAGAGTAGCTAGGGAGACCCAGCCAGATGGGCTGGGTATAAATAAATTATTATTATTATTATTATTATTATTATTATTATTATTATTATTAGTTTTCCTGGTGTTCCTCAATTTTCTAATGTCCTTCTTACCCTGCAGTACCTATTGCATTATAGAACTGTAGCATGTTGTCCTGAATTTCATTCACACCAGTGGGCAGTGTCACTGGACAACATCACTATTCCATCACTCTTTCCACATGTCCATGCACCCAGGAGGAACTTTGTGCAAATACACTGCCTCAAATTTTGTCACATTACTCCCACAATTTCTCTGGATGCAGCGTGAGAGGAAGGGACTGGGAAGTAAGGGGGGCAAGCAAAGCAGGGAAGCCCCGGGCAAAAAAAGAGAGAGGTACGCTGTGCTGGCATGTACCTCCTCAAAAAGCCAAAGAAATTATTCTAGCCAAAGAAATGTTGGCTGGCGTGACATGGCCCACCGTCGCTGCAACCTGATTTAAAAGCAAGGAATTCTTGTAGCTCTTGTGAGCTATCCATATGCAGCAGTAAGATGTTGGCTCCCAGAAGTTCTCATAAAAAACAGAGGGGTCAGAGGGCAGATGTTTAAAAATCTGGAGTGATGTATAGCAAAAACTCACAAAGAACTGGGTTTGTCCAAAAGTTGGCTGCAGTAGTAGTTGTTGCATACTTCTCAGACTGACTTGGATGTGACCCTCGGGTTTCTGGCAATGCTCAAAACAGGGATTGCATTGTAGTAAAACAGAGAAACATTTTCAGAGAAGGTTTCAATTCAGAGAATTTAGAGGCAGGGCGGAGAACAGAAAGCAGAAGCACTCACCCTTCTTGGAGCCAGGGGTTAAAAAGTGTGAAGACGGGCAAATCTTTTTCTAGCTTCAGAACAGCACAGTGCATTTCCGGAGATAAAGCTTGTGCACTAATAAACTTTCCAGTTGCCACAAGCTGCCTCGTTTTTGTTACAGGAGACCCACGCAGCTACTCCTCTCCAAATTGCTGATCACAGGCCTAGGAGACTTCCAGAACCATGGAGACCCCGCTGCCTATCTGCTTCCTTTCAGTCTTCATTGTTACAGGTGAGTAGGCTATGCTGAGAAACTTTTGAGGCTAATGGGTTTTCAAGTCTTCTAAGAATAAATAAACAAACTAAGACACAGATGTTTCCTCAACAGAGCAAGCTCAGAATTAAACAAGGCTTCATATACGGCACACATTGAAAACACAAAACTTCACTGAGGGCATCCCCAGAACTGGGAACTGTAACTCCATGAGGAGTAAACTACAGTTCTGAGGATTTGGCATTGGGGATTCAGTACACAAAGTGTTCTTTAAATATCTGGTGGGTACGCAGCTGGAGATAATTTAGTTCTGAATGAGTTAGCTGATTAGTATCTGTGCCAGTATACTGCAATGGGGATAGGTATTGGCACTATGTCACATGAAGGGGTGACTTCAGGTTTGCCTACACTGAGTGTACAATCTCTCTTTCTCTCCATGAATAGTTGAGCTGTATACTTGTATTCATATGTCATGTTGAACAAGTGTGGACTTTGTCTGCCTGTGTACACAATGGTTGAGCGGTACAAATATAGAAGAACCACACAACCACTTGTATGGTACATAGAGATGGCATGTATCTTATGGTTACCAGACATCCCAGTTTCCTAGGGACAGTTTCCAGTTTTACAAATCTGTCCCCGGACAAAATCCGTCCCTGGAATGTCCCCGGATTTCATTTAATGTCCCCAGATTTCTATTTTAAGTGGTGTAGATTTATTAGTAGGGAATGAATGTTGCATGATTGGTTCAACGGCACAAGACACATCATATGGGGACTTCCGGTGAGGCAAAATGGCAGGCGCCACGGCAGTGAGCAGCTCCTGAAGCCAGCCAGAGCCAACTGCATACCAGGCAGGCTCTGCGCTGCTGATGGCCACTGCCACCGCCACTGCCGAGGGGGGACTGGGGACATTTTTGGTACATTGCCTTCAAATGATTGTGTAGGAGGTGGCTGATAAACTGATGCTGAAAACAACAATAGACTTTAGGTGACCCCCTTGAACGATTCTGGTTTGCATGTGAATGAGGTTCTCAGGATGGTTCTTCTGATTGGTATGTTTGCTCAGTTGTAGACCATCAGGACTAATTTCATATAGCAGAAGGTAACTGGTTTAGAACATTAGAAGTGCCTGCTGCTGGACCAGAGCAATAGTCCTCTTGATACTATCAGCCCCTTCTGGACTGCCTCTGATGGGTTTTCTTCTGGTGCATTTTGAAATGTCAAACTTTCTAAATTCCCCTGAAACAGAACTTGATGAAGGGTGGTATGCAAACATTAACAGTGATAAACACACATACACAACAAAGTAAACACAGTCAGATTGAACTTTCTTATTTTCCCTGGTTTTAGGGGCTTCTCTGGAATGCGAGACTTGTGCAGGCGTTGGGAATACCTGCAATGGACCTATGGAAACATGCTCTCCTGGTTTTGACATGTGTGCTGTTACTCTGTCGGAGGCCAGACTGGGTAAGTGAATGGCACCACCAGAGTCCTGTGGACAGAGAATGGTTCCAAATACTCTCACAGCTTCCTCTTCCATGGCCAGGACCGGTTTCATCATTCACAGTAGCAGCTCTGCAGAGTAGTAGACCAACGCAACTGGGGCAATAGCTTTGGCTTGATTATCAGGAGTTTGTGTGCCCATCCTGCTCTTTTAGCACAGGGTTACCTTCCCCAATCCTAAAACAGGGAACTAAAAGCTGCTCCTTCAATTTGAGAGAAGTTAACAGCATTGGTAGCCTAGACAGTATGAGGACTAGGATTTATTATTATTTATTAAATTTATCTAACACTCTTCACCAGGAGACCACAGGGCAGTTGGACACATAATAAAAGGTCAATACCTTCCACACATCAAAAGGCCTTAGATTGATTAACAACCAAAGTCCTGGTTAAAGAGGAATGTTTTCACCTGGTAGCTTCGTTACCAGGTGAGCCGCCCTGGGGACAGCAGTCCACAAACAGGGAGCCACAGGTATAAGTAGAGAAACAAATCCAGTTTGTAGTTGCTTTTGTAATTAGGCCACATTCGCAGCATATATTTTAAACACTCTGATAGCACTTTAAACAATTACGGCTCCCCCCACCAAAGAATTCTTTGCTAAGGTTATGGAGAGTTGTTAGGAGACACCCTCCCTATTCTCCTTCCTCTGGGCTACAATTCCCAGAGTTGCCTGTGCAGAGGGATCGGTTGTTAAATCACTCTGGCAACTGTAGCTCTGTGAGGGTAATAGGGTCTCATAACAACTCTCAGCACCCTGAACAAAGTACAAGGGTATCATAGAGCTTCAGATGTATGCCCTGACCTTAGTGCTGATCTCACCCATGAAACACCCATGAAACAGTAGTAGAATCAAGTAATATCATGAAGAAGAAGAAGAGTTTGGATTTGATATCCCGCCTTTCACTCCCTTTAAGGAGTCTCAAAGCGGCTAACAATCTCCTTTCCCTTCCTCCCCCACAACAAACACTCTGTGAGGTGAGTGGGGCTGAGAGACTTCAAAGAAGTGTAACTGGCCCAAGGTCACCCAGCAGCTGCATGTGGAGGAGTGGAGACGCGAACCCGGTTCCCCAGATTACATGACTACCACTCTTAACCACTACACCACACTGGCTCTCATATTATATCAAGTGTGGACTCAGTGTATCTGAAGAAGTGTGCATGCACACGAAAGCTCATACCAAGAACTAACTTAGTTGGTCTTTAAGGTGCTACTGGAAGGAATTTTTTTTGTTTTGACTATGGCAGACCAACACGGCTACCTATCTGTAACTCATATTATATCAAGTAAGAGTGCTCTGAAGACATACAGTAGGCTGGATCCAATGGTAGTCGTTCAAAACAAAACCACCAGGTTGCATCCAACTAAAATTCATGGCCCTATGGTAATGATATCCAACCTCCCCACTCACTTAGAAGAGCCTGGATGAGAATAATAGAGGCTATAAATGTCAATTTTCTGGAGCCCCAGTTCCATGCCACCAATTTCTAGCATCCCATCTGTAGTTATCCTTATGCCTCCCTCCATCCTTTGCCTGATTAGAATGTAGTTTGATCATCCCTTCAAGGAGCCAGGATGACTCTCTTCTTAATAACCTATTGCACCACCCTAATGCCTCATAAAAAAAGCTCCAGCTAAAAGGATAGCACACTGGTCATTTGGGAAGGACCTCCGTCCTGGACCCTCAGTATCTTCTGCCACCAGCTGGACTTTCCTAACCCGGTAGCCTCCAGATGTTTTGGATTCCAGCTTCCATCAGCTCCAGTCATCAGGGTTGACGATAGTTGAAGTTCAGAAATATCTGGAGGACACCAAGTGGTGGAAGACTGCAATAGGTTTGATCGACCAAGGAAAGTGAAATGACTATTGCTCAAGATACTGAGAAGTAGGGTCAACACCACTGTGATTCTTTTTCACACATCCTGTTCTTCTTTTAATGCTTTCAGGAATGAAGATGAACTCTGTTGTGAAACACTGCGTGCAATCCAAATCTTGCAATGATGGCACCTCCATCATCAATTTGGGCAAGACAGGAGGACTACTGAGCCAAGTGTTCTGCTGCGTTGGAGCCGAGTGCAAGACAATGACCCCTACCTGTATGTTGCTGCCATGCGCCTCTTGCCTTTCCTCACTCTTATCTTACTACTTTTCTTTTCTTTTCTTAAACAGAAACAACAATCAAAACCTAATTCCTCTATTCCTTCACTCTCACAATGCTCCTGTTTAATCCAATGAACTCAATATTGGTGCATTTCATTTATTTATTTCTGTTCAGTTTAATAATGGCAGAAGAACCCCCATGTACAAGGAGCCCTCCCAATTCCGTAGGGTGAGTTTTGGGATCGTTCTTCTGCCCCTTGAGAATTGTATCCCTTATTCAAGAAGCAAGAGCCCCCTCAAGTCCAATTTTAAGGGTTGTCAACCTTTGGGGGCCAGTGGGCATATCTGGAAATTTTAGGAAGTGCCATGGATGACAGCCATAAATGGCTGCCCTGGGGAGTGGAATGTCACAAAATGGCTGCCATTGCACAAAATGGCAGCTGCATCGCAAAGAGCAGATAAAGTGACAGACCACAGGATAGTGCAGATGTGTACCACCCACCATCCATGGGGGGAAAACAACACCACCCATAGCAGCTATCATTAGGTATATTCATAGAGAGAAACTCATCACAAAGAAGTGAAGGCAAGGTGATTGCCTGATCCTCGGATCCTATGACATGTCGCCATGTTTAAGGAGGCATGTTTAATGTAGGAGAGGCTGAGCCAGTACAAACAGGAACCATGCAAAAATCGCAAACCATCTTCTTCAGGTTCTGGAGAAGACATTTAAAGAGATTTTTTATGGGCCCCAAATGAGATACTGGCAGGCACATTGGAATGTGTGAGCTTCAGGTTGACAGCCCCTGCTGCATTTAAATTCAGCTTGCCGGTCATGAGCAAAGTGAGGAATGGTTTGGAAACAACCCTGTTCCCCCCTCAAACGTTCTGACCCACTGAAACAGAATTATAAAATGTCTGGTCAAACAAGTGTGTGACATTGTCTTCCTGATTATCTTGGTGCTGTTTTTCTGTCATCCCAAATGTATGCAGTGACACCCACAAGAAGCAAACCAAATGGGAACTTTTGCCCAGCCTGCTACGCTATGAACAGTGAATGTGAGGAGGAATTGGTTCAATGTAATGGAGAGGAGAACTACTGCCTTGATGTTTCTGGAACTACAGACCTAGGTACCTAAACCCATATGTATATACAGAAGCAAATCTATCACAGAAACTCATACTGACCATTTTTGTTTTCCCATCCCAAACAGTATAGCACCCAGTATCTCAGGCATCTCCAACATTTTTGGACTTGCTTTTAAAAAAAAAAAGGGGGGGGGGAGAATGAAAACTCAGAATCTGGGAAACCTATCCAGGGACACTACGGGAGACCTTCACGGGTGCCATGGCACTCATGAGTGCCAGGCTGGCAAGCCCTGATGTACTTGGACTGGGATGGCAGTCCATGCACTGGTGGCTTCAAGACTAGAGTGCTGCAATGCACTCTGTGTTGGGCTGCCCTGGGGTGTGATTTAGAAGCTCCAGAGGGAGCAGAATGCAGCAGCTAGGCTGCTGATGGGGGCAGACGGCTGGCAGCAAGTGATACCTCTGATGAAACATTTCCACTGCCTGCCCATATGCTACAGGTCGAAGGATCTCATATTTGGTCTAGGACACCTCAAAAGCCTCTTCTATCCCAGCTCACCACTGAGATCCTGTGGAGGAGAGTTGCTAGTTGTGCCCCATGATTCAGAAACCTGACTGAGGCTGGATCTACGTGGGTCTTCTAAATGTCCTTAAATAAAACATTCTATAATGCTTAATGGCAGTTTTCCATTGCCAGTGGCTCGCAGCTCTACAGCGCCCTCTGGTGTCACATTTTAATGATGCATTTTTTTGCGTTATAAGTGTAGATCTGCCCTGGCTTCAACTAAAAGTTGGGCATTTAGTATTGCCCAGAGGTGGAGCAAGCCGACTGGGGCGGGTCCAGCCACCTGCGGGGCCTCCGATGAGTCTGCCTGCCTCCTCCCACTCAGCCACCCTACAGCTTAGGGGGAGGTGGCTGGTGGACTGTTTGGGGTAGCATAGAGTCTGCGGGCGCCCGAGCCACCGCGTCAAGTCCCAGGAGAGACACATGGCTCGGGCATGCTGCAGGTCCCGCGGTGAGTGCTGCCTGGCATTTTGTCACACACACCCCAGTGGTGACACCTGGGTCAGCTTGCCCCCACCCCCTTCCTCCTCCCCTGGTATTTCCTAGTCCAGTACAGAATCAGCAGGCATTCTAATATTCAGAAGCCTTTTTAAAAAATGTCAACAGTCCTCCTTTTAAGATAAGCCAGCCATTTCTTAACTGTTATGAACTGGATTTTGGTATGGGGAGATGCCAGGTGGCATTTTGACGAGGTTGGCATCAGGCAGACGTGGCAACAAGCTTTGCAAGCATGAACCGCACTGAGTCCACATGAAAATGTCACGTGGAAGTCGGGTGTGATAGCTTTGGTCCTCTCTGCCATGCACAAAATCAGGAGAGATTGGACTTCTCTCAGTTCAATTTGTATCCCATCACCATAGGAGAACGGTAGATGGCTATCACAGTGCATCACATATTGTTGACTGGCAATCTTCTGCAACCCTCTCTTTAGGTACATTAGCTGTTAAGACCACCATGAAGGGCTGTACCAACTCTCCAACCTGTGAGGAACTGAAAGAACATTCCGGCTCTATATCTGGGATCACTGTTACTTCCTCTAGCAGTTGCAGGCCAGCTGGCACCACCTCTGGAGGCCACAGGATCGTTCCAGGATCATTTGGACTCTTCCTTGCAGCCCTTGCTGGCCTCCAGTTTGTGATGCACCTCCCATGATTTCGCCACCTAAGGTGTCTGGCTTGAGGAATTCCTTGCTGCCGCTTGCTTGCTTGCTTGCTTGCATATGCAGACTATAGGCTTTCCAGAGCTCTCACTGACCTCAGCAAACACCAGGGATAGGGCACCAAATATGGGCCTTCTAGACCTCTTTACGTGGCCCTCACCAACTTTGCTCCCTAACTTTGAGTGTTTTTGTCTGTCTGGAATGAACTTAGCTCAGATACAGCCGCAACACGCGGCTAATAAGTATGGTAAATGTATGATTAGTTGTAGTTAGAATATAATCCAAAATTTACAATTCATAAACATCATTATATAATGTATGTATAAGTCCATAAACAAGAAATAATCAGCGTAATGAATTGCTGTCAGGCAACAGAATGCCTTTCAATAGATAATGTCCAACAGTATTGTACTGGTGGGTGCCCCTGCGTGTAGAATTCAATAATGAACAGCAAGCAAGCAGAACAGTGTTTCCGGATTAAATGAACTGTTTCGAAGATTAATCTTCGTCAGCTACTAATAAAATTAAATACATTTCATACAATGTATGAAAACAAAAATAACAGTGACCAACCTGAATATTAGATAATAAATAAAAAATGAACAAATGTGGAATACATACCAAATACCGTATTTTTTGCTCTATAAGACTCACTTTTTCCCTCCTAAAAAGTAAGGGGAAATGTGTGTGCGTCTTATGGAGCGAATGCAGGCTGCGCAGCTATCCCAGAAGCCAGAACAGCAAGAGGGATTTCTGCTTTCACTGCGCAGTGATCCCTCCTGCTGTTCTGGCTTCTGAGATTCAGAATATTTTTTCCCTTGTTTTCCTCCTCCAAAAACTAGGTGCGTCTCATGGTCTGGTGCGTCTTATAGAGCGAAAAATACGGTAATTTCTAATAAGTTATCCATTCAGGTAAATGTGATACTTATAGACCAGTGCTCATTAACCGGTGTAGCCAACTGATGCTGGTAATAAAGATATATTGAACTTTTAAGGCTGTTCACAGGTGTATCAAATAACACGCAGTTAAAGGAGATTTAAAGGTACAGTGAATCAAATTTGGCATCACAATGCAAACTAAAACCATATATCACACACTTTAAATGAAATGGAATGAACTTAGGGCCAGATGGAGGATAGGGAAGGGTGAATAAGTATGTGCAGAGAAATTAACTGAATGTACTATGGTGAAGTTCACACCCACTGCACTGCCCATTCTTGCCGCCGCCGATATGTGGCCCTCTGAAGGCTACCCAGAATGGAATATGACTCTTGGGCTGAGAAAGCTTCCCCACCAATTCTTTGGCTGACCACTTCTGGCCTCCAGCGATCGCAGGTAATGAAAAGGGTGGTTCTTGTTTTCAGGCTATAACTGAGCAGTTATCTACCAGCGGTTCCTAAATATCGGAAGCCGCGCTGGATGTTCGGCTTCTGAAAATCGTTTGGAAACCGAAACACTCACTTCCAGGTTTCACTCGTTCAGGAGCTGGTTTGTTCGGGAGCCAAGGCATTTGAGGTCCAAGGTACGACTGTACTGAACCATGCACATACCCAGTATTTTTGTTGGGGGGGCATGACTTTTGTTAGGGGGGTAGAGCCAACATGATTGGTCAGTTCGTTCAGTATTTCTATTATTTTACTTGACTGGGGGGGCAGCTGCTCCCCTGCCCCCCCCATACTGAACCTGGAACTTTCTGCAAACAGTGCATGTGCTCCATCACAGAGCTGCAACTCCCCCCTCCCAGTTCTTCTCTACCTGCTGCTAACTACACATACTAAACACACAAATCCCAAACCAGCAGCTCAGCTGTTAACCTGTCAGAGATTCCAGTGCCTAAAGCACACAGTTGGCATTTGATATCTGTGTCCATTGGGAAGCTAGGGGCAAATTCATCTCAGCCCTGTGCTCATCATGTTGTACCCAATGTAGTGCTAAATTTAACTCTGTGGTGCATTTCTTGGGCTAGTGGGATGCTTTTGTGCAAAGGGAAAGATTGTTCTGCCAGAAGCTTCCACTAGCAACCTTGCTGCATTGGATTCCCTTGTAACACATCCTTTAAGCTCCACCACCCTCTATCGCAATAGCTCTTGGCTACCAGACAGATATTACTAAATACTGCCCATCGCTTTCCCCCTTCAGGCTGACTGTTTTTCCTGAGTGCGAATGTGGATTATTATTATTTCTGCTTTCTTTTGCATTTTAATGAGAAACCACACAATTTTCAATTCATGAGCCAGTTAACCAAAACAAATCTTTTTGAAATTTGTACTACCCTGAATTTTGCAATGCAGTTTTTCGCCCAAATTTATGTGCACAGCACAGCAATGCATACATTAGGTGGGTGTGTACATATATTGCATATATTCATGGGGGGGAATGCCTTGTATTAGGGAAAATTGCTTGTAAAAAAAGGTGTATACTAGGGGAAACTACATACAAAAATGTGTATATTGGTCAAAACTGCATACAAAAATGGCTATATTAGGAAAAGCTTTCATAATCAGGCAAATAAATTTGCATGTTTTTTGTTGTTGTTGCTGCTGTAAATGCAAACTGCTATGGCAATGTGGAGAACAGAATTAAAGATTGGGAAAATGAGAAACAGATTGGTCTGCCACCTGCTTTTGTGGAAACTTCCCTCATGATTTAGAACTTTGGAGCTTGGAGTCTTTGCGCAGCAATATTGAGAAGGAAAAAATGGAAAAAAAGAATTGGTTATCATCACGGTGTTCCATTGCACCAGAAGCAGTTTAGTCATGCTGGCCACATGACCCAGAAAGCTGTCTGCGGACAAACACTGGCTCCCTTGGTCTGAAAGTGAGATGAGCGCCGCAACCCCATAGTCATCTTTGACTGGACTTAAACATCCAGGGGTCTTTGACCTTTTTTTTTTTTAACCAGTGGTTAAGTACACACCATATAGTTAAAGGGCACACACACAAACACACACACACACACACAATCCTGGGAACTATAGCTTAGCCATCCCAGAGCTACAACCCCTAGCACCCTTAAACAAATTAAAGTTCCTAGGATTCTTTGTGAGATTCCTGCATTGCAGGGGTTTGGACTAGATGATTCCTGGGTCCCTTCCGACTGTGATTTAGAACTCCATGATTCTATGATAATTGTGCAATTTAAGCAGTGCAGTTTAAATGTGGAAATGTTTCCCTAGCCCTGCATATTTGGCCTACACTCCTGCTCATCAGTTAATATTTCTTTTCCCTGTATACAAACCTGGGCAAAGTGCAAAGGACATGGAAGAATCTATTCTATGAGGACCAGGAACTGCATTTCTGGTTTTTGGATAACTTGGCCATCCCCTCCCCCCCTGCCCCCCCCCCGTTTTTCTGCAAGATAGCATTCAGTGCATTCACATGTGATGAATATTGCATTATGTTTCCTGATTATAGTGCTAGTGTTCCTGTCTCATTCAATAATGCTCTTCTCAGCACTGGAAAACTTGTTGCATTATGGAACTGTGACATTTCGTCCTGAATTTCATTCCCACCAATGGGCATCCTATGGTGCAACAACGAACATCATTGGACGACATTGCTTCTTTCACTCTTTCCACACATGCATGTTTCTGTCCCCCCATGAAAATATCAGAAAGGAATGCTATGCTGATACGGTGCCTTCATTAAAAAAAAAAAATACTCCCACAATTTTCTGAATTAAACGAATTCATTTTTTTCTGGAATCAACCTAGCAAACTACATTTCACTAGTTTTCTGGGCTTTTGTGGCCCATGAAAGCTCAAATGTAATGTAGAAATAAACAGTTGCAGAACAGAGTGACAAACTGTAGTTAAAAGTGTATTGTTGATCACTTCTCTCTCTCTCTTTAATAATAATAATTTTAATCACCGTTGGCTGGTGTGATGTGGCCCAGCATCACTGTGACATGGTTGAAAAACAAGGACTTCTGGGAGCTCGTGGGAACTATTCACATCCAGCAGCAAGGTATTGAGTCTCAGATGTTCTCACGAAGAGCAGGGAGGGCAGGAATGGCTCTTAAAAAGTCTGGACTGAAGTACAGTGGTGCCTCGCAAGACAAAATTAATTCGTTCCGCAAGTTTTTTCTTCTTGCGAGTTTTTCGTCTTGCGAAGCACGGTTTCCCATAGGAATGCATTGAAAATCAATCAATGCGTTCCTATGGAGACCGTCCGGGGACAGAGGGGAAGCGCCGCGCGCCTTCCCCTCTGTCCCCGGAGATTGCGGGGCTGGCAACGGGGAGAAGCGATCTTCTCCCCGCCGCCCCTTGCTTCAAAAGAGGTCCGGGGACAGCGGGGAAGACGCGCTGCGCTTCCCTGCTATCCCCGGAGCTTGCGGGGCAAGCTTCATTTTGCGAAGCAAGCCCATAGGGAAATGTGTCTTGCAAAGCGGCTAAGAAAATGAAAAACTCCTTCGTCTAGCGAGTTTTTCGTCTTCCGAGGCGTTCGTCTTGTAGGGTACCACTGTATAGCAAAAATTCATAAAACTGGGCTTGTCCAAAAGCTGGCTGCAGTGGTAGTAGTCATAGGAGCCAACTCCTAGGGGCTGGGGGGTCTTCGCCTCCCAATAAAATACTTGAGAGGCCCACACACCCCAAGTTAATGGATATTGCCATTGAAATGGTGTGTGTGTGTGTGTGTGTGTGTGTGTGTGTGTGTGTGTGTGTGTTATGTGATCAATTATGTGGGGTGGGGCTTACCTGCCCCCCAAATTTTATTCAAATTGGCACCCCAATTGTTGTTGCATATTTCTCACATTCACTTGGAAGTGACCCTTGGGTGTCTGGCAATGCTCAAAATGTGGATTGCATTGCACGAAAATAGAGAAACATTGGTATAGATTTCTCAGTTGACTTTCAACTTTGGCAGCAGGACAGAGAATAGGATTATTATTTTTTTAAAGTGCCCTTGCCCTTTCTGAGAACTGTTTGCTCAACTTTGTAGAACACCCTCAGCTGAGTCACACAGAGCCAGTGGCTTCACTAGATTCAGAAGAGCACTTTGTGCTTATAAAGACATGGTTTGAAGCCCACAAAAGCTTCTGCCCTAATAAACTTTTTTTTTAGGTGTCATAAGCCTCATTTTTGTTATAGGAGACCCCCGTGGCTACTCCTCTAGAAATTGCCAGTCCCAGGCCAGGAGACCTCTAGAATCATGGAGACCCCACTGCCTATCTTCCTCCTTTCAGTTTTCATCACTACAGGTGAGTAGATAATGCTAAGAAACCATTGAGGCTAATGGGTTTACAAGCCTTCCAAGAATAAATTAATTGCTACATCTCTTAAGAAAGGTCCATAGAAATAGAAAGAGGCTGTGTACACGTCATATATTTAGAGGGTGCTGGGAAATGTAGTTCTGTGATGGGGAAACTACAGTTCTGAGAATTATTTGGGGGAAGTGCACACTTGAAATGTGCTTACATGCCTGCCGTTTTTTGCAATCTAAGATATTTGAGATCTGAATGATTAGTATCTGTGCCAGTGTATAGCCATAGGGATAGTATTGGCACTGTGTCACATGAAGAGTTGCTCGTACATTATATTCATCTAGTGCACAATCTCCCTCTGCACACACAAATAGTTGAGCTGTACACTGTATAGCAATCCACATGCCATGTCTAACACATCCAGGTGATACTTTTTCTTTACCCTGTTTTTAGGGGCCTCTCTGGAGTGTGAGATTTGTGAGGGCCTTGGGCACTCTTGCAGTGGGCCTACGAACAGATGCCCCCCTGGTTTTGACAGATGTGCCGTTATCTGTCAGAGACTACAGTGGGTAAGTCCATGGCAAAAGCTCAAGGACCGCCTCTTTCCATACAAACCTACCCAGTCCCTGATATCATCTTCTGAAGTCCTCCTTCGTGTGCCTCCTCCTTGAGAGGTCTGGAGGATGTTGTCATGGGACTGCCAAGGAATGCCTTTGAGTTGGGGGGAGAAGAGTCAGAGCGGGAACAGTCAGAAGGAAACAGAGAGGAAGTGACGGAAGGGGAAGAAGGAGAGAGCCAGGAGGTGGGAAGGCTCTCCGATGCTGAAGCAGAGCCCCAGCACCGCACAGGGAGTTCAGGAACAGACGGAGAGCCTATGCCTGTGCCTTTGGCACACTAAAGGAGAGGGTTAAAGCACAGGGATCAGAGACATCCCATGAAGAGAGACATCTGCCTCTTCTGTTGGAGGAAAAGCAGGAGAAGACCACTCCCCGAATCTGAACCGGACGATTTGGATGCATGATTGCACTGTGCTGCTAGTACATATGTAAAATAAAGAACTGTAACTATTTTTCTGAGTGAGCAGAGGGTGCTTATTGCAAAGAGCATACACAAACCATCACAGGTGTCAGTGCAAGAATGGGCCTTTTCTGCAGTGGCTCCCCATCTGTGGAATGCTCTCCCCAGGGAAGTTTGCCTGGCGCCTTCATTACACACCTTTAGGCTCCAGGCAAAAGCGTTCCTTTTTAAGCAGGCCTTTGGTTGATCCTATGCCCTTTTAAAATGTGGCTCTTTTTTTGGGGGGGGGGTGTTATTGGGTTGTTGTTTTTATTTTGATTATATATACAGTGGAACCTTGGTTCTCGAATGGCTTAGTTGGTGAGCAAATCGGCTCCCAAACACCAAAAACCCGGAAATAAATGTTCCTCTTTTCGAATGTTTTTCGGAAGCCAAATGTCCAACGCAGCTTCTACTTGAGTGTAGGAACCTTCTGCAGCCAACTGGAAGCCTTGGTGTTCGAACGTTTCAGAAGTCAAATGGACTTCTGGAATGGATTATGTTCGAGAACCAAGGTACCACTACATTGTGGGTTGTTTTTTTTTAATCCGTTCTGTGAACCGCCCTGAGACCTCCAGGTATAGGGCATAATCATCATCATCATCATCATCATCATCATCATCATCATAATGGCTAGGAAGGAGACTCCGACTAAACATTAGGAACAACCTTCTCATGGTAACAGCTGTTTGACAGTGGAATGGGTTAAACCCAGAAGGTGCTGGTCTCTCAACCACTGGAAGTTTTTAAACAGAGGTTGGATGGTCATCTGTCAGGGACTCTTTAGCTGAGATTCCTGCAATGCAAGTGGTTGAACTAGATGGCCCCAGGGAGTCCCTTCCAACTCTACAGTAATATGATTCCACGGCACTAACTGCCCCCCAAAGGGGAATGAATCCAGAATCTTCCCAGTTTCATCTTGCATTGGCTGGACTGGCTTCATTCTTCACACTAACTCCACAGAGTAGGGGTCTAAGCCAATTGGGGCAATTGCTTTGGTTTAATTATGAGTGGGGTTATGTGTCCTTGATGCCCCCATTAGCACAGGATTTCCTTATAGCTCCCTGAATTTCAGAATACAAAGGTTTCTGCTCAGCATGAAACAGGAAAAGAAAAGCCATTTCCCCAACTTGAGAGACATTAGCAGTAATTGTAGCCTAGACAGCCTGGGGACCGAGACATTCTCTGTGGTATAAGTAGAGGGACAAATCTAGTTTTGTAGTTAGTTTTGGTTTTGGACTTTAAAAAAAGAGCTATGGAACAATATTGTATCAAGTAAGGTTGATCCAAACGTGTAAAGTGGGCTTTATCCAGTGATGTTCATTCGAAGTGGACCCATTAGATTGTGTGTCCTGCTAAAATTAATGGACCTAAATTAGTCATGTCCATTCATTTCAATAAGTCTACTCTCAGTAGGAGTAACACTGGATTAAAATCCACTGAAGTTAGTGGGCAACAGATCTCCTCCACAGTACTTCTCAGCTATAGCTGAAGAGGATGGATGGAAATAATAGAAGGGGTAGATTTAAATTATCTGGAACCTCAGTTCCATGCCACTAACATCTGCCATCCCAGGTGGAATTATTGCATTGTCTCCCTCCCACCTTATTACAAATGTAATTTGACCTTCCCTGCAAGGAACAATAATGGCCTTCCTCTTAATCTAAAAGGATGGATTATGCCGAAATGGCAAAAATGTCCGGAAGAATCAGGAAGTGTTATGTAGTGTAGTTTCACCCTGGGCCAACAGGGGGATACTGTATATAGTTTTCACTCAGGTCTGTAGATAGTTTTCACTCAGGTCCGCGGCAGTTATTTTAGGCGGGAACTCTGGGCTGTTGTGGTTACAATGTTGACAGCCGGCTGCCTATAAATACAGGCCGGCTGAGCTGTTCGCAGTCAGTTGTATTCCAGCTTACCATAATAAAGAGCTACTTGAAGAAATCGCTGTGCCGGCTGCTATGTCAACCCACGACTTAACACTGGCGACGAAGGTGGGATGGATGGACATCAGAGCACAGCCAGATGCGGCCAGCCTCTGAACTGAGCTGAATCACTGAGCTGAATCACAGAGCGAAATCACTGAGCGAAATCACTGGGCAGAACCAATTCAGAGCTGACTGTTCTGGCTAGAGCACTGTGTTCCATCCATCGCCCTTCACGCCGGCATCGGAATCATGGCTTCACTTGTGCCTCTACCGCCGTTTGCGCCAGCCTCTGAATCGTGGGACTCCTACCTCGCTCGGTTCGACTGCTACCTCCAAGCCAACGAGCTGACAGCAGTATCAAAGGATCGGAAGCGGGGCCTATTCCTCAGCCTCTGTGGGCCTGAGGTGTTTGAGACGGCCCGAGCGTTGGTTGCGCCTGAAGCAGTCCAGGCAACACCATGGGACACGATCCAAGAGAAGCTCCGCAACCACTACGCACCAAAGCCGTCCAAGATTGCTGCCCGCCATGCGTTCTACCACCGGAACCAGGCAGAGGGGGAGTCATTCAACAACTACACCACCGCCCTGCGACAGGCTGCAATGCACTGTGAGTTCCGAGACTTAGACGATGCCCTGATGGATCGAATCGTCTGCGGGGTCCGGGACATCCATCTGCAACGGCGCCTCCTAGCCAAGCCAGACCTCACGCTACAGAAAGCCATTGAGGAGGCTGTGGCCTCAGAAGCTGCCGAACGCTCCGCCCAGGAGATCCGCAAGTCCAGCAGCCCACGTCTTGCTAGGGAGCCAGTTCCGGTGCATCATGAAGAGGCCAGCAGTGATGAGGCATCCTCCAGTGAAGACGATGACGTGCACCAGACAAAGCGGGAGCGCAGGAAGTTCCAACAGAAGTCCAAGGGCCAACCGGAATGTGCTGGCTGCGGAGGCAACCATTCCCGTGCCAAGTGTCGATTCAGAGACGCCATCTGTAGGAAGTGTTCCAGAAGGGGCCACATCGCTAAGGTCTGCCGATCGGCTCCGTCTGACACCCCCCCTTCATCGACTCGCAAGTCCAAGTCTTCACTCCAGTCTGCCAAGGAAAGTTGTTTCGCTCTCACCAACTGCCGCTGCCCGTCTGGAACCACGATTGGCCAAACCGACTCGCCTACGCGACGCAAGCTGAACGTCACGGTGCTCATTGAAGGAGCTCCATGTGACATGGAGATCGACACCGGGTCTGCCCTGTCCATCGTGTCATGGAGCACCATCAAAAGACTGGTACCCAGAGTGTCCAAAAGGCAACTCGACTCTCACCGCGTACACCTGAGAGACTACCAGGGAAACGACATTCCCGTGGTAGGCGTTGGCCGGTTCCGGATCGCTTTCAAGGATTTTTCGGGCCTGCTCCGGTTGGTGGTGGTCGAAGGTCAGCGGCCAAGCCTCCTAGGGCTAGACTGGTTTGATGCCCTCGGCCTGGAAGTCACCGGCATCAACTGCATCTCTAACGCAGAGACTGAGGGTCTGGTCAAAGACTTTGCCGAGGTTTTTGACGGCACCTTGGGCCAATATACAGGTACGCCCATCTCCTTTAGCCTTGATCCACAAGTCGCCCCCATCAAGCTAAAGCCACGCCGGGTTCCCTTTGCTCTCAAGGCTAAGGTGGACGAACAACTGGACAAACTGATCGCCCAAGGAGTTTTGGAGCCGGTTGACCACGCAAAGTGGGAAACCCCCATCGTCACGCCTGTCAAGCCAGATGGGTCGGTGAGAATCTGCGCTGACTACAAGTGCACGATCAACAAGGCACTTCAGCAGCACGCTTATCCGGTTCCTGTTGTCCAACACCTGCTGCATTCCCTGGGTGAGGGTAAGGTCTTCGCTAAGCTGGACCTTGCCCAAGCCTATCAACAACTGCCAGTCGATGATGCCACTGCTGAAGCCCAGACGATCGTCACCCACCGGGGGGCTTTCCGTTGCCGCCGGTTGCAGTTCGGGGTGAGTGTGGCTCCTGGCATCTTCCAAACCTTATGGAGCGTCTCCTGCAAGGGCTTCCGGGCGTGGTACCATATTTTGATGACGTCTTGGTGTCTGCAGACTCACACCAGCAGCTGTTCGAGCGCCTCCGTGCCGTGCTGACCAGGTTCCAGGAGGCCGGGCTCAAGGTAAAGAGGGAGAAGTGCCAGATCGCCGTTCCACAGGTAGAGTTCCTGGGCTATCTTATCGATGCCTCCGGTCTTCATCCAACCACATCCAAGATCCGCGCTATCCAGCAGGCCCCCACCCCAAAGAACAAAACGGAGTTGCAGGCATTCCTGGGGCTGCTGAACTTTTATAACATGTTCCTGCCCCACAAAGCCACAGTGGCTGAGCCTCTTCACCGACTCCTTAGCACTAAGACGCCTTGGGCCTGGGGTCATCGGGAGACGGCGGCCTTCAACGCGGTCAAGGCTCTCCTTTCTTCAGACAGTGTGCTGGTACAGTACAGTGAATCCAGGCCGCTGGTCCTTGCCTGCGATGCCTCACCTTTCGGCATCGGTGCTGTCCTTAGTCACCGTTTTCCAGATGGAAGAGAAGCACCGCTCGCCTACTTTTCCAGGACACTATCTCCGACGGAACGGAATTACAGCCAGCTCGACAAGGAGGCATTGGCACTTGTGGCTGGAGTGAAGAGGTTCCATGAATACCTCTATGGCAGGACTTTTGACCTCATCACTGACCACAAGCCACTCCTGGGCCTCCTCGCCGGTGATCGTCCAACTCCACCAGTCCTCTCACCACGCATGCTGCGATGGACTGTTTTCCTGGCTGCCTACCACTACCGGCTCATCCATCGCCCGGGGAAATCGATGGGCCATGCCGACGCCCTCAGCCGTTGCCCGCTTCCAGCATTTGTGGAAGACCCGGCTCCAGCTTCATCGCTCCTTCTGATTGAGGATCTTCCGGCAGCGCCTGTATCGGCTGCCACTGTGGCCTCCGCATCTGCCCAGGATCGCACCATCAGCCGGGTGCTCAACTGGGTGTGGAGGGGGTGGCCACAAGGGCCTTTTGCATCGGAGTTCCAGCCCTTCGCAACCAGACAACATGAACTCTCAGCTCATCGTGGCTGCCTGCTGTGGGGAGACCGCGTCGTGATTCCCCAGGGACTCCGTCAGCGCGTCCTGGAGGCTCTGCACGTTGGCCACCCGGGAATTGTCAAAATGAAGGCGTTGGCTCGGTGTTACGTCTGGTGGCCTAATATGGACGATGCCATCACTGCCTGGGTGTCCGCCTGTCAAGCGTGCCAGGAGTCGAGGCCTGCACCACCGGCAGCTAAGGGACACACCTGGGAGACGCCAAAGACACCCTGGTCGAGGGTGCACATCGATCTGGCTGGCCCCTTTCACGGCCGGACCTTTATGGTAGTGGTGGACGCCTATTCCAAATGGCTGGAGGTCGCCCTGATGCCCTCCACCACTACCGAAGCTGTCATCCGGGTGCTGCGAGGCCTGTTTGCAACGCATGGGTGTCCTGATGTCCTTGTCTCTGACAACGGACCGCAGTTCACGTCAGGCACGTTTGAGCGGTATCTTTTGGGACTGGGCATCCGCCATGCCCTAACGGCACCCTTTCATCCATCCAGCAACGGGCAAGCGGAAAGAATGGTGCGCTCGACAAAAGAGGCACTGGCGCGCCTGGACCGGGGAGACTGGCATGAGCGGGTCGCCGAATACTTGTTCGTGCAACACATCACCCCTCATGCGGCCACAGGGAGGAGTCCTGCTGAACTGCTTATGGGCCGCCGCCTCAGGTCACCGCTCGACCGGCTACACCCAGACTTTGCCGTGGCTGAACCCCCAGGCTGTGCCAACGCACCACGGTCATTTGTCCCAGGAAACCAGGTCTTTGCCCGGAACTATGTGGGGGACATCCCTTGGGTGCCAGCCACAGTAGTGGGAGTCACTGGACCTCGCTCGTACCAGGTGGCACTCGAAGACGGACGCTTGTGGCGACGGCACATAGACCAGCTTAGGCGCAGGGTTGGGGACTTGGACACTACCGAGGTGCCCCCAACTGCGCTTGCGGCTCCAGAAGAGACACGTACAGATGGCGAGGCCCCACCTACACCTCCCTCGCAAACTGCCAGCGTGGAGCCGAACCAAGCCGTTTCAGAACAGACTCAGACCACTCCACTTGCGGAGGCTCCACCCACAGCAGCGGATCCAGGGGAGTTGGTTCCAACGCCACCTAGGGTCGCACCACAGCCTCAGCGAGAACTGTGTGGCCCTCCGGACTTGGCTACCAGTCCCCGGCGGTCTGGCAGAGTTTCCAAGCGCCCAACTTATTTAAAGGACTATGTTGTTGGACAGGTATCACTGTTGGTCTAAGTATGGGAAATGTAACCGATATGCTTTTGTGCCTAATTGAACCATTACGCGTAGTGCTGTATATAATGAAACCATTACGATTGTAACTAACGCCTTATCTCGGTGGGGAGGGGTGTTATGTAGTGTAGTTTCACCCTGGGCCAACAGGGGGATACTGTATATAGTTTTCACTCAGGTCTGTAGATAGTTTTCACTCAGGTCCGCGGCAGTTATTTTAGGCGGGAACTCTGGGCTGTTGTGGTTACAATGTTGACAGCCGGCTGCCTATAAATACAGGCCGGCTGAGCTGTTCGCAGTCAGTTGTATTCCAGCTTACCATAATAAAGAGCTACTTGAAGAAATCGCTGTGCCGGCTGCTATGTCAACCCACGACTTAACAGGAAGACTAAATTTTAATAAGGAATGGGGAAAATTTATAATTTATCTTAAAAACCATTGTAAACAGTTAAAACCATTAGTAGGATTGGAATAACACTTGTAGTTTAATGGTGAATGTTGGACATAATGGAGATGCAAAAGATTTGGATTATTATAAGAGAAGCAGGAGGAAATGATTAACAATAGGACCCACAAAGGGAAGGAGGGAAGTCCAGGAGATTCTTTGGAATCTTGGTTTTTTTGTTGTATGTTGGATATGTGATTGAAAAACTTTAATTTGAAAACCAAATAATTTTTTTTAAGTAATTGCTTTCCTCCTAATGACCTGGTGGGCCACCACAGTGCCTTATAAGGAATGCTCCATGATATCACATGGGACATAGGGGAATGACTTCATTCTGAGATCCTTGATATCGTCTTCCATCAGCTGGGGCAGAGAGCCTTTCCCAACCTGGTGCCCTTCAGATTTCCTGGACCAACCTCCATCAGTCCCAGGCAGCATGGCCAATGACCAGGGAGGATGGTAGCTGCAGTTCAGAAACCCCAGGTTGCAGAAGGCCACAATAGCGAGAACTGGGCTCTATGGACCAATGATCCAATTCACATGAAGTGACATGACACTTACCAAGGATGCTGAGAAGTAGGGTCAATACCATCGTGGTCCTTTTTCAGACATCTTGTTTCCCTTTTGATGCTTACAGGAACAAAGTTGAAGGCCATTGTGAAGAGTTGTGTGCCATCCAGTGCCTGCAACAATGGCGTCACCATCATCAATATGGGCCAGACAGGAAGAGTAGCGACCCAAATTTTCTGCTGTGTGGGGGACGAGTGCAGGACAATGACCCCCACCTGTATGTTGCTGCTGTTCTCCTCTTTCCTTTCCTCTCTTTATCTTACTACCTTTAATTAGTTTTCTTTAAAAACAGCAAACAACCGAACCCTAAATCTGTCCTATTCCTCTGCTCCTTGACTCACACCACACTCCAGTTTAATGAGCTCACATTGGTGTGCTTCATTTATTTATTTGCAGTCCATTCAAAAACAGCAGGGGAATCCCTAACGCACAAGGAGCCCTCCCAATTCCATACAATTAGTTTAAAAAAATCTTTCTTCTTTGCCCCCTGGGAATTGTATTTTTTATTAGAGAAGAACGAGCTCCCTCTATATCTATTGTAAGAATTGTCAATCTTTTTGGGGGGCAGTGAGCATACTCAGGACTTGGGGAAAGGGACATGGGTGACAGCCATAAATGGCTGCCATAGGGATGTGGACTGGCACAAAATGGCTGCCATAGGGATGTGGACTGGCACAAAATGGCCTCCTTGGAAGAGGCATGGTATGACACAAAATGGCAGCCACAAAGGGAGCATACCACACAATGGGACAGACATGCCCCCACCGCTCCATTGACAGGGAAAAGGATGGAAGGGAGGGAGGCTATCTGATCCTTGGATCCAATGACATGTGGAGATGTTTAAGGAAGCATGTTCAATGTAGGGAAGGCTGAGCCAGTGCAAGCAGGAACCAAGCAGAAAATCCAAACCGTCTCTCCTGCCTGTGGGTTTCTGAGGAGATATTTACAGAGTCCTTTTGGGGCACCATAGGAGATGCTGGCAAACACTTTAGCCCTTGTGAGTACCAGGCTGACCACCCCTGCTGTATTTGAATTGATAAGCGACACAATTTGAGGTCTAAAGCAAAAACAACTGGTACACCTATTATTAAATTCCTCACGTCTTTCCAAAATCTGTACGCTTGTTTTACAAGACCGCAACATGTGCCAGTAGGCCCCATTAATTTAATACTTGAAGAAAGTCTTGGAGATGGCCTCTTTCCCCCTCAAATATTCTGAATTGAACTCATAATTGGTGAACGCCTCCACCCCACATGAGGGACTTAGAAACTGGCTGCTCAAACAGGGGCTCAAACTGTGTTTTTCTTTCATCCCAAATGTATGCAGTGACGCCCGCAAAGCCAAAGCCGAATGGCAAAGTTTGCCCAGCCTGCTATGCTCTGCACAGTCTTGAGTGTGAGGAGGAGGAAGAGGTCAAATGTTCTGGGGATGAGAACTATTGCCTTGCCTTGTCTGGGACTACAACTGCAGGTAGCTGAATGCAGAAGCATATGCAGAAGCAAATCTACACTCCACACAACAACTCAGACTGGTCTTTATTATTTCACTACTTCAGTCAGTACCGCTACATTCTGAAAGGTACCCCATACCTCAGAGATCACCAGCCCTTTTGGACCAGTGCATACATTTTGAGAGAGTGCTGGAGTGCCAGTCACAAAATGGCTGCCATGGAGTAGGCATGGCATAAGACAAAATTAGAGAGACAACCACCCCCAACAACCTTATATTTACCATGGGAAGTCAGCTACGTCCTGCTGGTCTTTGTTATGGTGATCACACACACACACACACACACACACACACACACACACACACACAAACGTTGTTGCTGTCTCATAAAAACAGCAAGCATACCTCAGTACCAGGGACTACATGCAGGCTGTGCCATAGGAACATTTCTAATTGGGGATTTGTCCAATATCTCCCCATGCCCCTCTCTCCATGGTTTTTTCCTGAAATGGCTGCAGCCAACCAGCAAGAGAGAGACAAAGGAAAAACTTATTTGTCCGATCTCTCCTGCTCTCTCACTGGTTCAATCTTCCTCCCTCCCTGCATATTTGCTGCCCAAAATGGCTGCTTCTGACCAACAAAGCACAAACAAGCAAGGATGTAAAGAAGTGGGCAAACTCTTGATGTTTGGATATCTGAATCTGCAGAGTGTATAGCAAGGGTTAGTCATAATTATTTACATTCCAATAAGTGAATTTTCACATAGTGTGAGGGGATAGCAGAACCTGAGTATATACAAGATAGGCACACCATTCTAATTTCACAGAAATTATTTAGAGGAGCACCTGCACTTTTGCTCCATAACTTTCTTTCTATGAGGGCTAGCTACTTCTTTTTAAAAAATAAATAAATACAAGAAAGCTGGTTTCAGAGCTGTTACCACATAAAGTAAAGTACATTCTCAAGAGACTACACCATAAGATGTAACAACAACAAAAACCTGTTACCAAAAAATGTAAAACAATTTTGTTTTGTTATGAACACCAAACAAACCCATATTTTATCAGGACTTGCCATCCTGTCATATACGTAACCAATGGCCATGAAATGGCTGCAAAATCAATAGATTTAGCTGCACCCAAAGATACTCTTCATTTATGAGTAATTTTTTCAGAAAGAATGATAAACATTACTTTTAAAAATCATTAAAACAAAAACTGAAGGGCTCCTTCCAGCATGTGATATGGCCAAACGAGCAGCTACTAACAGAAAAAATATAAGTGGTTTACATATTCAGTCTCTGTTTGACCCATCAAAAATTGATAAACAACACAATTTGACGTCTAAAGCTAAAATTACCAGTACACCTATTATTTCAGAAATTTCCTGCCTCACCTCTTCTCCAAATTCGTACGCTTGTTTTACAAGGCCACAACAAGTGCCAGAAGGGTCCATTAATCTAATCCTTGAATAAATGTGGAGGGGGGAAGATTTTGGATGGCACTTTGATGACATCATGCAGACTGGGCAACAAATTTGCATGCATGATCAGTGCACAGCCCACAATAAAGCACTGTGGAAACAGAATGTGATAGCCTCATCCCTCTCTGCCACACACAATGTCAGGAAAAGATGGATCTCCTAGATCCCTACCTCCTACCTCAGTCGATACAGTAGAAGACTGGTAGGTGCTTATCACAGTTCATCTTATATTTCCCTGGTATTGATTGTTGACTGGTGATCTTCTGCAATCCTCTCTTTAGGAGCCTTAGTTGTTACGACCATCATGAAGGGCTGTACGAACTCCGCAACCTGTCAGGAACTGAACGAGCATTCCAGCTCTTTTTCTGGGATCAGTGTTGTCGCCTTAAGCAATTGCAAGCCAGCTAACAGCTCTGGAGGCCACGGGATCGTTCCAGGATCATTTGGACTATTTTTTGCAATCCTTGCTGGGCTCTGGTCTGTGATGCAGCTTCCATGATTTTGCCCCCTGGGACAGAGGCTGGACTGTCGTGACCCTCGCTTGGGGCTCTTGGAACCTATGAGGACTGTAGGCTTTTCAGAGAAGACAGAACCTTCAGCCCACACTAGGGATGGGGGGGCACACTTGCGAGGACCAAATGTCTCCTCTCTCTATTTCAGCCTCGGGACGCCCCCCAGGTCACATCCCTCACCAACTGTGCTTTGCAACCTTCTCTTCTCTTCTCTTCTCTTCTCTTCTCTTCTCTTCTCTTCTCTTCTCTTTTTATTAAAGATGTTCTTGGGTTACAGAAGTACATACATCATCTCTAGTTTCAGATCATAAAGTCTTTTTTACAGCTCATTTATATTTGATGTGAGACTTTGATTTTGTTTGTGGTATAAGGTTGGGAGACAAGATAGGTGGGGAGAGAGAAGGGGGAGAGAGAGAAGGGGGTGGTAGTCATTTTATTCTTTTACATAATGTAAGTGCGATGTTTTTGTGTCCGTGTCATGTTGGGTAGGTTCTTTTTCTATCCATTTAATAATTTTTATCAGCAGTGAGAGAGGTTGGGGGTGGGCAGGGCCTGGCTGGGTGCCCTTCAGTTGATTGCAGTGGGTTTTGTTTGTGAGAGGGTGGGGTTGTTGGGTCAAGTTAGCCATATCAGTTTGCATGCTGTCGGTGGGTTTATGTTGTCGTCTCGTTGGGCTGTGTGTAGCAAAGAGGAGCCTCACCGGGGTGAAGGTATCCTTTTCTTATTTGTCCCTGTGTCTGTTTCAGTCCACACCCAGCCCAAAGTGCACACCAAGATACCCAAAACATTACTAAGTTCCTCTTCTGGGCTCTGAGCCCAACATCCCGGATCCCACAGACAAGGGTACCATCAAAACTAAGCCCATTAGTGTATCAAAGCAGGCATATAGGAGCATCTATGAGATCATAGCTATAGCAACTTCCAATTAATTGAAGTTTGCCAAGAGGGCTTAAGCACAGCTTCCAGAGCAGTTCAGCTTTGGTACAACACAAGCCTTCCCTTGTCTGATTCAGATATCACTTTAAACAGCCTTGGCTGCCTCCAAAGAATCCTGGGAATTTTGCTTTGTTAAGAGTGCTGGGGGTAGTGCGGAGCTACAGTTTTCAGAGGGCTTTGTCCGTCAATCCCACCTCCCAAGGAACTCTGGGAATTGCAGGGCAATTGCTGTGCCTGCAATTTGCAGATAACTTTCTCAGGAAATAACCATGTTAGGAGATGAAGCTACTGGGCATACCAACACATTGCTGGGCCTGAATGGTATTGTTATAAGAAAAACTGCTCCCTTTCCCTTATGGGGTATTCCAGAGCCCATGCAGAGTCCTTAAGTGGGTTCCCTATAGGTAGGAGAAAATAGCAGAGGCCCACCAGAGTATATTGAAAAGCAAAGCGGCTAGTAAACCTTTGTTCATGGAACTGTTGCAGCAGGGTCCCCACTCACCACATGCAGGAGGGAGGAGAACCCTGAACAATGGTGTGCAAGCCCTTATCTAGACTTTTGAAATTGCCCACGCTGTAGCCCAAGACCACCCCCTAAAACATCATACATACATCACAGAAGGAGGCGGTCTACAGCAGAAACCCTGTTTGCCAGGATACCTTATAATGGTCACTCACTGCATTACCAGGGCAGCCTGGCCATTCTTTTGTGATGCTTAATACTTTAGCTCCTGAATCCAGGTCACAGGCTCACTCTATTCCTGCACAAACATGCCCTTAAGACAGGATTTGCAAGCAAAAAGACATTGGGAAAGCTTTCCCCATTTGCCTCCCTTACTGTAGAGAAATATTTGAGGTCACTGGGAGAGTCAAAATGGCTTCAGGATAGCTCTCCCATACTATTTCAGACACATGGTTCATATATTTAGATGTGTGCATTTATGAATATTTATTCTACACTTGAGACCTTAAAATTCTTATAACAGTATCCACTTGAGAGTTTTTTTTAAAAAAACTTCAGATGTGAATATTGTCAATATGAACTGCCAATTCCGTAATGCCTTTATATAAATCATACTTGGGATACTGTATACAGCTGGGGGTCACTGCATTGCACGGCACTGCAATGGATGCCAACCATAAATTAAAGAACAGAGCCTTAACAACAAATAAATAGGTAAACGTCTGCTTAATGATTCATTGTTGGTAAATTCCCCTGGTTGATTATTTTGTCATATGCAAATATGCATTATGCAAGTTTCGGGTTGCACAACTCAGTATTTGATTTTGCAGTGCTCTGTTGCTGTACAATTTAATTATGGGTCTATGATACCAATGTAAATATTTTTAGCCATTTTAGGGAGATTAATGGCACAATGTGACTGAAGGGCAGAAAGGATGATTAAAGCCATTGTCATGGGCCCTTCTCAGGGTGATCCTATTTTTGCAGACTATGGGCACATCCCTATGTGCATATGAGCCAACTCCTAGGGGCCAAGGCCCCTTCACCCACCATAAAATATTTGAGGGGATGAGGGGGGGGGGCAAAGTTGATCGGCATTGCCATTCAAATGGTGTGCATAAGCCACCATTTGAATGGCAATGGGGCTTACTTGCCCCCCAATATTTCATTCGCTTTGGAGCCCCTGCTTTTGTGCATCCACTGCACATTTAAAGCACAACTTCCCAAGGAATCCTGGGAACTGTAGTTTGAGAGGGATACTGGGAGCTGTAGCTCTGTAAGGGGGAACTACAGTTCCCAGGATTCCTTGGGGGAAGTCATGTGCTTTAAATGTTTATTGGATGTGCTTTAAATGTATGGTGAGCAGGTGTGAGCTGGTGGCAACTGACCAGGAAAGAGATCTTTTGGGTCATGGTGGACAGGTTAATGAAGACTTTGATCCAGCAATTGACAGATGTGAAAAGGAAGAATGCCACCCTATGGATTGTCAGGAAAAGGACCAAAACTGCCAACTGTGCAATGCTTTCATTCAAATCTATGCCATTGCCACACTTGGAATATTGTGGCCACATCTCAGAATATACTAGAGCTGGAAAAATGCAGAAAAGGTCATGCAAAATTATTCAAAGGCTGGAGCAACTCCCCTAGGATGGACATTTGATGACTGTCATTGAGTGAGAGAGGTGAAAAAAGGTAGATAAGATGGGTGTGTGATAGCATACCTCTCAAGTGTCTAAATTTTCCTGGGACTTCCCAAAATTTGATCCTGATTTGATGTCCCATTTCCCCCCTCCAGCACAACCACTAAGCTCGGGGAGGAGGACGAGCGCATATTTTGGTGCCATGAATCAGCTGGCTCCAGTGGGCTGAGCACTGCACCAAAAGACGCATGCATTTTGGTGTGGTGCACTCACGCAAGCCAAAAGACCCACATATTTTGGTGCAGTGTGTCTTGATTTTCATCAGAGTAATGTTGGAGGGTATGGATAAGAGGTTCTCTCTATCTATATCTATCTATCTATCTATCTATCTATCTATCTATCTATCTATCTATCTATCATCTATCTATCTATATCTATATCTATCGCTTAATCTCTCATAGTACTAGGACAGGGGATAGTCCAGTGAAGCTGAATGCTGCAATATTCAAAACAGAGAAAAAGATGTAGTTTTTTTCTCACAATGCAGCATTAAAACTATGGGGTTCCACAAAATGAGGTGCCTGCCAAGTTGGATGGATTTAGAACGCGATTATACAAAAACATGGGACGCGGGTGGTACTGTGGGTAAAAGCCTCAGCGCCTAGGGCTTGCCGATCGAAAGGTCGGTGGTTCGAATCCCCGCGGCGGGGTGCGCTCCCGCTGCTCAGTCCCAGCGCCTGCCAACCTAGCAGTTTGAAAGCACCCCCGGGTGCAAGTAGATAAATAGGGACCGCTTACTAGCGGGAAGGTAAACGGCATTTCCGTGTGCGGCTCTGGCTCGCCAGATGCAGCTTGTCACGCTGGCCACGTGACCCGGAAGTGTCTCCGGACAGCGCTGGCCCCCGGCCTCTTGAGTGAGATGGGCGCACAACCCTAGAGTCTGTCAAGACTGGCCCGTACGGGCAGGGGTACCTTTACCTTTACCTTTATACAAAAATATGGAGGACAAGGCATTGAGTGGTGGCTAGTCCTGGCTATATGCTTTCAGAATCAGTGAGAGTGTGCCTCTCTGAATGCCCTTTGTTGGGGAACAACAGCAGGAGAGGGCTACTGTGCTCATGCTTTGCTTGTGCGTGTCCCCCAAGCATCTGATTGGCCACTGTGGGATACAGAATGTTGGACTGCATGGGCCATTGGTCTGATCCGTCAAGGCCCTTCTGATGTCATTAAGGCATTCTACAGCCTCAGTGCTGTGACAGAAAAAGTCATGCTAGCAAGGAGGTGATGGGGGTTGTAGTCCAAAACATCTGGAGGCCAGCAGGCTGGTGACAGCTGCTCTAAAGACCCCCACAAAGTCCATATGTGTCACCCAGAATTGGCCTAGAATGGAAGATGAGTTGGGATGCTGCTTCGCTGGTGGTATTTCAGGGCAGCCCAAACCATACAGACAATTTTTGCAGGTGGGTTTTGCACAAAGGTAAGCCTTGCAGTCAAGTCACAGCTGTCCAGGTGAAGCAAAATGAGAGCACACCAAGGAGTTTTTCTATCTCCTGACGCATCACCTCATGCTCTCCCTGAAAAAAACAGGGTTCCCGCCCAGAAATTTATTTCTTATTTCCTTCTTCGTTGAGATGGAAGAGAGTGTCCCAGCTGGGTGATGGATAGCTGGGAGGAGAAACTGAGGAGGGAAAAATGACATTGCATCTCTACTATAAATAGCCAGAGGAATGGTGCACATTCACTCAGCCTGCGCAGTTGACCTTTGGCAACGATCGCCTCTGCTGCAGCTGCTTGGAGCCCCAGGTAAGCTCATCCTTCCAAAGAACAACGGGACCTGCCTTATACTGAGCCAGACCATTGGCCCATCTCTCTCCATGTTGTCTACACTGGCTGGTTTCAGCTCTCCAGGCTTTCAAGCAGAGGTCTTCCCAGACCTCCCTGGAAATGTTGAGGACTGATCTTGTGGCTTTCTTTGTGTTTTTCATGCGGTCTACCACTGAGCTTTGTCTCTCCCTTTCTTTTATATCCTTCCTTTTCTCCAAGGAACTCTTGGTTCACCCCCACCCCCACATTTTATCCTCACAACAACCCTTAGGAGGTAGGTTAGGTTGCATGGCTTACCAGTTTGCTACCAGGCCAGGTTCAAGGTTATTGTGTTAAATCACAAAGTTCTAGAAAACCTTGGCCCAGTTTGGTCCCAAAGTACCTTAAGGACTATGTGATTCCTTAAGTTCAAACCTTGATCTTTAAGGTCTAATGTTGGCCCACTTTGGGTGGTCCCACATGCCAGCTGGCCTTTAAGGTAAGTTAAAGGGACCCCTGACCATTAGGTCCAGTTGTGGCCAACTCTGGGGTTGCGGCGCTCATCTTGCTTTATTGGCCGAGGGAGGCGGCGTACAGCTTCCGGGTCATGTGGCCAGCATGACTAAGCTGCTTCTGGTGAACCACAGTGGTGCACGGAAACGCCGTTTACCTTTCTGCTGGAGCGGTACCTATTGATCTACTTGCACTTTGACATGCTTTCGAACTGCTGGGTTGGCAGGAGCAGGGACTGAGCAACGGGAGCTCACCCCATCGCAGGGATTCGAACCACCAACCTTCTGATTGACAAGTACTAGGCTTTGTGTGTGTGAAGTCCCTTCACTGCAGAGTTCCCTGCCAGCATCTCTGTCTACTTTCAAATGTCTGCTGAAAACCATATTGTTTAGACACGCCTTCTGAACGTGAGGTTCTTTGCAAGCACCTTTTACAGATGTGTTTGGTGTTCTTTCTTTCTTTTTTTCATGGCAGCATTACGTTTTTAGGCCTTGCTCTATGAAAGTGCAGTCTATAAACAGTTAAAGAAAGAAAGAAATTCATTGGGAGGAGGCAAGGCAGTGCTGAGAGTGCAGGGGGATCTCTGGGCAGCAGCTCCATGGGCTGCAAATTTGGAGCTTCTCCTGAATTGTGGCTGCTCTGCCACATCACAGCAAATGCAGCTCCAACCACCAGGAGGGGGCCACCATTGCCCCATGCTCCCATGGATTTAATAAGTTGGGTTTTTTTTTAAAAAAAAGTAATGGATCTGGGTGTCACTACTGAGGTGTTACTGCTGTGCAGCGCTTTTCACAGGATGAAAAGATCACACAAAAAACCTGGTGGGATTTTATTTCTTAAGCTTTGGACAGCATTCACCATCCATGCCAGTTCAGGAAATGTGAGTGTCTTGATTTATAATGGTATGCTACCACTTCTCCTTCTCTGGCACAATGTAATGCTCCCCTGCTGTAGTTTTTAGCTTCAATTCATTATGCTTCAAGTAAACTTTTTTTTTAAAAGATGGTACATAGAGTTTATATATAAATAATTGGTTGCATGGTCTGTTTATTTCTGATCTCCCTTCTAGGCAACTCTGGTGAACTGAGTGCTTTGCACCTCTTTGTAACAGAAAAATCACCATGTGGTCTCTCCTTGGCTGCTTCCTCCTCGGTGCTTTCCTAGCTACAGGTGAGGAGACGTCTTACCAGTTTATGGAACTGTTCTGGGTTCTGTAAGAGTTGGTAGCTCCTGAGATAACAACAAAAGCCAATGCTTCTTTTTCCGGAGTCAATAGATTTGCTGATGGCATAAAACTAACATCTCAACCCATTCTGAGAAATTTGTGCAAAAAACTAGCCACCATTCTGAATAGTTTGAATGTTATTCCCAGGTGGGATGGAGCATGGAATGGGACCAGAGAGATGGATAGCAAACCTACAAGTTCTCAACCAACAGCAGCAATGAAGTGCTCTCCAGATATTCCTGGACCCCCAGCTTTCATCAACCCTAGTCAGTTTAGTAATTGATCAAGAATGGAGTTGTAGTCCAAATCATCTGGAGGTGCCCTATTCCAGATCCACCTATGTCATGAAATATTTGGCTAAGACAAAGCCAAAACACATGCCTTTGCTTGTGTTCCTCTCTTATACCCCTTGCTTTTGCCAGATTCTTCCTCCTTTGTCATTTATCTGTGGCACTCTGTAAAGTGTGGATTGCGTAATAATGGCAAAAATAACCATCTAAATTGTGGTGGGCACAGTTCTATGAATGGTAAAAACAGTTAAGTGTTTGTTTCTCCAGGTACTTGTCTTCAGTGTGAGGTGTGCTATGGCGGAGGCAACAACTGTACTGGTGAAATGAAGACTTGTGGTGCTGGTCAGGATACCTGCATCATCAGTCTGATGGAGTATTCACAACGTAGGTATTCTTGAGAGTCTTGGGCTGAGATATCACATAGGTGCTATGCTGAAAATTTCATATGATGACTATTCATTGGGTGGATGTGGATGAAGCAAACCCCTCACAAAAACTATGTCTGTGTAGAAATTTCTTCAACATTATCAGAAGGGGGCTGCCCTATTCTTGACTCAACCTTTCCCTTCTCAATCACCTGTGCAGCTCCCGTGACAATCACATCTGTCGCTAAGGACTGTGGCTCATCCAGCTTCTGCAAAATTGGTGCTGAAGAGATAAATCTTGGGAGTGGAATGCAAGTGAGATCAAATATCGTCTGCTACAAGGAGAATCAAAGTGGAACAGTCTCACTTCCTGGTATGTACTGTCTTGTCTATAAGATCTAGAAACTTGCATGGCTGCCCTCTAATTGTGACCCCTAGTTCTCCAACATAGCTACAATTCCCAGAGTGGTTTAACAGTCTGTTCCTCTTCTTAGGGAAATCTGAGAACTGTAGCTCTGTGAGGGGAGTACAGAAGTTGCCTGGCAACTCTCAGCATGCTTAGAAACTACAGTTCCCAGGACTCTTTGGGGGAAGCCACGACTGTTTCAAGTGTTATGATAGAGCTTTAAATGTATAGTGCAGATGGGACCCTAGATTCCCAGGAAAAATAATGGGCTCAGCCTATTATGTAGGAGCAGCTAATGTAGAACCCTACTGACACCAACATTGCTGCCACTTACCAAGATGGTGGCAACAAGGTTGGGATGGTGCAGGTGCCCTGATGGGGGAGCATGGGCTTGTTCTCCTGGTATACCTGCACAGACCCACCTCACCACAGCCCTGACCCACCAGCCCTGCACAGTACTAGTAAGCATCAGCAACAACAGTATGGGGATGATGGCTCCACATCAACACCCTCCCACTGTAGCCACTTCTGCTTATAAGCCTTACAGCCTTGGAGCCATCTTTAAGAACTCAGCAGCCATGGTAAGCCTCCTTTCACTGAACCGAGAACTGACTGGCAAAACAGGAACTCAACTTCCCAGTGGAATTAAGATAAAATTGCCCAGTGGAGTTAAATTTAATAGACTGGGGCACCACACTGAGACAGATTTCTAATTTGCCAATACCCTCTGATCTGAATGCTCTGCCCCCTAACCCCAGGGATGGAGAAACTGTGCCTCTGCAGTTGAAGTTGGACTTCAACTCTCATCAGCCTCAGTGGGCATGGTCAATGGTCAGAGATGTTAGGAGTTGTAGTCCAGCAACACCGGAAGACCCCAGGTTCTCCACCCTGGCTGTAACTCTGTGCTTGTTTGTTGTCACTTCTCAGTGGGGAGGGAGCTTTAGTCCATACAATCTTAAGAACATAAAAAGAGTCCACTGGATCAAGACAATGGCCTATCTAGTCCAGCATACTTACAATCACCAGCTAGGTGCTTGTGAGAACCCCCAAGGACCTGAACACGAGAGCACTACCCCTCCTGTGGTTTCCAGCAAATGGTATTCAGAAGCTCTGAGGATGGAGATAGAACATAGTCATCATAGCTACTGGCCACAAAAGCCTTGTGGTCTATGAATTTGTCCAATCCTCTTTTAAAACCATCCAGGTTGATGGCCATGACTGTCTCCTGTGGCAGCGGGTGGCACTGTGGTCTAAACCACTGAGCCTCTTGGGCTTGCCGCTCAGAAGGTCAGTGGTTTGATTCCCCGCAACAGGGCTAGCTCCCGTTGCTCTGTCCCAGCTTCTGCCAACCTAGCAGTTCGAGAACACGCCAGTGCAAGTAGATAAATAGGTATCACTGTGGTGGGAAGGTAAACAGTGTTTCCATGCACTTTGGTTTCCATCATAGTGTTCCGTTGTGCCACAAGCAGTTTAGTCATGCTGGCCACATGACCCAGAAAGCTATCTGTGGACAAACACCAGCTCCCCTAGGCCTGAAAGCGAGATGAGCGCTGCAACCCCATAGTCACCTTTGACTGGACTTAACCATCCAGGGGTGCTTTACCTCTTTTACCTTTTTAATGCTTCATTTTGTGTGTCCTGAATCTTTCAGCATACAAATTCAGAACATTAATATTTAGTATTTAATTCCTTCTGACTTTATTTTTCATCAAAAGAGCTGAGGATAGTGAAAAAACTTGCTTCTTCCTCAGCCCCCTATTGTTTCAGAGTTGAGGCCAGGCATTGGTAAAAGACACCTGATGGCTGACCTTCCATTTCTCTCCATAGTGCTGCCACCACCAGACACCAAACCCAATGGTCTCCAGTGTCCTGGCTGTGTTGGGATGTTTTCCACCAAGTGCAATGCAAAGCCTGTTGCCTGCAATGGAGAAGAGACCAAGTGCATCAACATTGCTGGGAACGTCACAGGTAGAGAGATTCAGTGTTTTCAAAATTGTCTTTCCATCATCCTGATCTTCAAATGTGCTGAAGAGTGGGGTAACCTGAGTGATCCCCATGGCAACTCCATAACCACCTGGTTTAGGTAGGCTGCTAACCCAGCAGTTCAAAAGCACGTCAACGTGCAAGTAGATAAATAGGTACCGCTCCGGCAGGAAGGTAAACAGCATTTCCATGCACAGCTCTGGTTTCACCAGAAGCGGTTTAGTCATGCTGGCCACATGACCCAGAAAAACTGTCTGTGGACAAACGTCGGCTCCCTCGGTCAGCAAAGCGAGATGAGCGCCGCAACCCCAGAGTCGTTTGAGACTAGACTTAACTGTCAAGGGTCCTTTACCTTTACCTTTTTTAGACTAACATGTGGGTTAAAGCAGCTATTCTCCAGTTTTCATGCTTCTCCAAATTTTGCATAGAATCCTCAGCTTTTTTTAAAAAAAAGTACCTGTAAAGTATCTGTAAAATTCATACAGATTTTTTTTAAAAAAAATTAATGCATTGAAAAAGATCTGCAGAATGACACAGAAACAGGAAAAAAAAGCTTATGAATACATGAGATGATAACATGAACCAGAAATTGACTGTGACCCATCCTTTGCTAATCCACATTTTCTCCAAAATTTCATTTTAAAAGGGTGGTGGCAACTATAGTGGGCAGAGAGCGCTGTTCATTGCAGGCTTGATACTGACCAACATGTTGGCCATTTCTTGCAGTGGTTCAGACCATAGATGTTTCCTTCAAGGGATGCGCTAATGAGGCTTCCTGTACCATGATCAAATTGGGGCCAAGAACGTTTGCAGGAATCAGTACGGATCTGGCTACGGCTGAGTGCAGTGCAGCTGTTTCCACCAAAGCTTGGTAACCAGCTGACTCTTACATCACAGAATGTCATTGCCGAACCACATCTTTCTTGTCTAAATGGCTTGCCCTTCTTCGCATGCTTTCTTATTGATTAGTTGATTAGCTTCTCCCAAAATCATATCAAATCAAAAAAATAAATAACTGAAGAACTTGATTATAAATAAATCCTTGCAGTGCAATACCTGTGTCCACCACTTGAGGCAGCATATGCTCCTTTAGAATGAACCCACCAATATAATAGAGAAAGAGATATTATGTGTATGGCAGTTTAAACTCTTCCTTGAGTTTAAAAATCAAGTGGGTAAATGACCAGATCAACAGGGAATCACATTGGATATTCTCTCTGTGTGTGTGAGATTCATTTGTTCCAGAAACAGAGAATTCAGAAGTTTCAAGAAGCAGCAGAATGCTGAGATTGTTTTGTCTATGGCAGGACATTTTCTGTGGGAGCTTTATCTTTGGACATGTGCAGTGTGACCGGAAGCACTGATAACAACAGTTTTGTGTAACTTGTTGTGAGTCTTTTGCTTATGCCTTGTGATGAGAGGAGCAGAGTGAGTGTCTTGGACTCTTGTTGGATTCTAAACCTGCCTTGACAGTGGTGAATGTCTGTATATCTTTGCTACCAATATGCTTTTATGCCTGTCAAGTAAACCTCTACACCTGACTGAATCTTTAAGGTGTCCATGAGTGTTTATTGCCTACTTTGTGCACCTTCAACCCCGAAGATGCTTCCAAGGAAGGAGCTGTGTTGAGATGTAACCCTGCTGGGTATGGATACTGACACACACACACACACAGCGAAAGTGATGCTGGACCCAATCCTTCTAAATCATCCATCAGAGGTTGATGGATTGATCCAACAAATCAAAGGTAGCCATGAGACTTAATAATCATTTATGGAAGGAAATGTCCCAACTTAAGAGGGAAATATTTTCAGTGCAAATTCTCTGCAACAAAATACTGGTGGATTGGGGAGGGCCACTTTTGGTTATAAAATGTGCATCTGAACATACGCAAGATGTACTTTCTCAAGAGTAACAAAATGTATGTGTGTGCCAAGTGTCCTTAACCACGTGCAGAGTGTCTTTGATCAGGTATGATCCGGCCAATGATAAGCAACATCCGGAGAGCTGGTGGTTAACCACTTTTGAGATAGAGGCTTCCATCGTATATCAAAGGGTCTCCAAGGTGGGCTAACTGGGAGTGGTGGGCATGTGTGACAACAGCAGCACTCCAATCAGTGTCAAAAGGCTCAGGGAGGCCGTTTAAATTTCCCACAAGTCCCTGGGCTAAGATATGACACCACAGAGGCATTATGGGAAATTTAAATGGCAGCTCCCAGAACCAACTGCCTGGTGCTAATGGCAGGAAGATATTTTGAAGAAGTTTGCTCTGCTCTGCTGGAGAACAAAGTTCCCGGCAGGTGAACATTGCTGACATGAAAGAAAACTGCCAAACTGCAGACAAATAGGCATTGGAAGCCTTTTGTGCTGGGACTCTTCAAAACTGATTACGAAGAGGAAGCAAAAGGTAAATAAAAAAATTGGAGACCAAAGGAATTTACACCACCAGCCCTACACCCCTGTGGGGATTACTTAGAGCAACAGAGGTGTGTACAATTATTCAGGGATGTGGAGAATGTGGATAGAGAAGATGGCTTTAAACCATGCTTTACTCAGAGTAGACCCTATTTACTCAGAATAGGCCATCAAATAAAGCTGAATGTTGGCAGATGCAAGGCAGACAAAATAAAGTCCTTCTTCCCATGGCACTTATTTACACTATGGAATTTGCTCCCACAAGATGTAGCACCAACTTAGAGGACTTTGGAAGGATCAGATGAATTAATGGGCAATAAGGCTCTCAGTGGCTTCAAGTCACAATGGCTGCGCACACTGCCAGAACGGTATGCCTCTGAATAAAGGTAAAGGTAAAGGTACCCCTGCCCGTACGGGCTAGTCTTGCCAGACTCTAGGGTTGTGCGCCCATCTCACTCAAGAGGCCGGGGGCCAGCGCTGTCCGGAGACACTTCCGGGTCACGTGGCCAGCGTGACATCGCTGCTCTGGCGAGCCAGAGCCGCACACGGAAACGCCGTTTACCTTCCCGCTTGTAAGCGGTCCCTATTTATCTACTTGCACCCGGGGGTGCTTTCGAACTGCTAGGTTGGCAGGCGCTGGGACCGAACGACGGGAGCGCACCCTGCCGCGGGGATTCGAACCGCCGACCTTTCGATCGGCAAGCCCTAGGCGCTGAGGCTTTTACCCACAGCGCCACCCGCGTCCCATGCCTCTGAATACCAGTTGCTAAAAACTGCAGGAGCAAAGAGTGCTGTTGCACTCAGGCTGTCCTTGCAAGCCTTCCACAGGAATCTGGTTGGCCACTGTGAGAGCAGGATTCTAGACAAAATGAGCCTTTTGCCTGATCCAAGCGGGCTCATCTTACATTGTTATAACAATCTACTTAACACGCTAACTCTAAAACCTGGCACAAACAAATGCTAACTGGGGGGAAAACAAGAAAGATGTGGGTGGCATGATGAAAATACAATAATGAATGCAGGCTACAGTGGTACCTCAGGTTACAGATGCTTCAGGTTACAGATGCTTCAGGTTACAGACTCTGCTAACCCAGAAATAGTACCTCGGGTTAAGAACTTTGCTTCAGGGTGGGAACAGAAATCGTGCGGCAGCAGTGGGAGGCCCCATTAGCTAAAGTGGTACCTCAGGTTAAGAACAGTTTCAGGTTAAGAATGGACCTCCAGAATGAATTAAGTTCGTAACCTGAGGTACCACTGTATTGGTTTTTGATCATCAGAAATGGATTGGAAAAGGTGGGGTGGGAGGTTTCAAACTAGTCCAGCATTCTTTTTAATATCCTGCTCCCAAGAGACAGATTTTGAAAAAGAGCAATGAATGAACCCACCAAGCCAACTATTTCCATGAACACAAAATCATAGAATTGAAGAGCTGGAAGGGACCATGTGGGTCATCTAGTCCAACCCCCTGCAATGCAGGAATCTTTTGCCCTATGTGGGGCACAAACCTATGACACTGAGATTAAGAGTCTCGGAATCTACCGACTGCGCTATTCCCCCAAAGCACAGTGATTGGAGAACCTTGATAAAATAATTCTTTCTCATTGAAAGCTAGACCTGTCTATCAAAATGATTTATCTCCTCCTCGCTCTTTCTTCACTCAACTTGCATCGGGGCATTTCTCTTATAGTCAACTTGCTTTCGCTTTTAATAGGCACCACAACAAAAAATTCTGTGACTTCTGTGAATAGTGTGGCATGAAGCTTTGCGAGGGGTAGTTAATCACTGCAACTCAAAGGAATTTGCTGACATTGTGATCTTATTTGATCAAGTAAAACACACACACACACACACACACACACACACACCACAATTCACTTGTGTGTCATATTTCACACAGAGCCAATGCATGGCTATGGAATCCAGCTTGTAATTTCCTTAGCTCCACTTGGAGCTGTCTGTGGTCCTGCAATTTTGTCTTAGCTCCTACACACCATTTGTCAGAGCTTTCCTCTGGAACATAAGTACATAAAAAGAGCCTGCTGGATCATGCCAATGCCTCACCTAATCCAGCATCCTGTTCTCACAGTAGCCAACCAGATGCCTGTGTGAAACCCACAAGCAGGATTCGAACACAAGACAACTCTCCCCTCCTGTGGTTTTTTCCAGCAACTGGTATTCAGAAGCATTGCTGCCTCTTACCATGAAGGAAGAGCAAAGCCATCATGGCTAGTAGCCATCAATAGCCCTCTCCTCCATTAATTTGTTTAATCCTCTTTTAAAGTCATTGTTTTTTCCCTGTGGAAGTGAGTTCCATAGCTTAACGATCTGCTGCGTGAAGCAGTGCTTGGCCTAAAACCTGATCTAAAACAGGATAAGCAATGCCGGCTGCACCCAGCGAACCCACCCAGTCTGTTAGCCCATAATAAACAGCACTCACCACCATCCAGAAGCAGGATTTCAGTGCCAATACTCTTCAGCTACAGCTGATGTATTTTATGTCACGGCTAAAATGGCCGCTGTTTCTTTAATGCTTAAAAAAGCTGGGTCAGCATGAGTCAGCGGCCTGCACCGGGTTGTTTATATAGAGTGAGAAATGTTAGTTTGGGTTGGTTGGTTAGTGAAAGCTGGCAGTGTTGAGGTGTGTACAGTTGGTCAGTCGCTTTTGTAGAAAGACTTTTAATAATAAAAACAGAAAGTACTCTGCAAGGATATTTTTCTCGTGGACTCTTTTATGCCGACAAGGGTCCGAGGACCAGGCTGAGGCAACAAAGGGAGGTCAGAACCTTTTTTGCTTTTTACAAACACTGACATTTTATTTGTCACCTACCAGTATTATCAGCTGGTCGCTGCTTGATGACATCACTTGAGTGCCACCATGCTCTGCTACTGCTAGAGGTCATGGCGGAACATAAAAAAATAGACACTAGTGTATCTTGGGCAATTTGATCTCTTCATTCACTGTAAAGCCCAAGGCCTATAAATAACTAAAGGCCACAAAGCAAGGAAGGAAGGAGGAAGGGCTCAGGCAGGATCTCTTGGTCTTCGTGCCAGAAGAAAATCAAGGAAGGATCTTCACATGAAGAAGGCAGGCAAGAACTGGGAGAGAAAGTGCAAACAACTCTGGAGTGTAGCCAACCTTTCCAGAGATGGTCTTCATGGGAAGGCAAGTGCCTTTTCCATGTACATGAATCCCAGCAAAAAATACCATCCCTTTTTTAAAATTATCACAGACAACCTTGTTTACACAGCCCTTGATAGCCACTGGTGGTCCTGCGGAGGGAATAGAAGGAAAGGACAGTCAGCATTTAGGCTAGAAATTGAATCCATCTTAACTGGTTTCTGCTCCAGATTTTGAAGTTCCATATTTCTGAAATGGTGGCTAGGGAAACCCAGCCAGATGGGCACGGTATAAATAGTTGTTGTTGTTTCCAAGGCAACTTGGAGAAAATGGGAGGAATCAGGTTGGATTCTGGAGTTTCAGAATTTTTCTGAGAGGGAAACTTAACTGCTAAATTTCATAATGAAGCTTCTAATTTCCCTCCTTCATTCTTTGGAAGTTATGAAATCATAGTGCACGCATAAAAGGATGACATGGTGCAATGACTGTATTTCATCATCGCACCATTTTGCAAATTAGACTTTTTTAAAAATTAAAAACACTGGGGAAAATGGAACAAGATTCTCTTGGGTCAATTATCTCATGAAAAGCAAAATTCTATAAAGTAAGTCTACCCTAATTCATATCCTAGAAAAATGAATCCCAGTGGGAGACATATATTAACAGATTTTTCCCATGCTGTCATAGTAAGTCAGGTTTTCCCAGAATGAAAAAAAAATCCTTTTGTTGTTGTCTCCCCTCCTCATCCTCCTCGTCATCTTGCTATCCATCCTTCCTCCTCTGCCTCAGCTTTTAGCCTCCTTTCCTCCTCCAATCCTTGCCATTGCCTCCTCCTAACTGTCATCATGGTGTCATTCACAGGGTTAGTGCCATCTGTCTGCAGCCATGTGAATTACACCTTGACAACAGTCTTATACAAATATATATATTCGAGAAAGTGTGTGTGTGTGTGTGTGATTGTGTACTTTACATAGTCAGATTAGAGTAAG